TATAGCGCCAATCCATAACAGAAGTTATCTCAGGACACTTTTCAAATAGAGCAGGTCTAGACCAAACTCCTGTTTCACTCCTCTCTCCACATTAAAATACTCAGATAAAAAAAAAACATTTAGATTTACACACACATTAGATTTTAAATACATACATCTTACCAGCTGATAGAACTCTGTGGGCAGACCATCAGGACCAGGACTTTTACAACGTTAAGCTGTTTAATGGCCTGCAGCACTTCGTCCCCTCTTATTTCACCTATAAGTGAATTAAAGGTCAATGGGCTGTATGAAGGAATCTTCTTTAAAAATCTATTTACATCCTCACTATCAATTTCTATTTTCTGATAAGAGTTAGCACATAAATATCTTATTGTTTCTCTTTTCCTATTTTTACTCCACCCCCGTCTGCGGCACTCCTCCACTAAGTCGGCGTACTTGTCACGCTTCCTCTCATTGGCCTCTTCCATACGCTCCTCCCAGGGGACGGTCAGCTCCAGAAGAACCACCTGTTTTGTTGAATCTGAGAACAGAACTATGTCAGGTCTCAGGGTGGTTTCCACAATGTGCTCTGGGAATCTGAGCTGCTTCCCCAGGTCGGTCTTCATCTGCCAGTCCGGCGCAGTTCCAAGGAGTCCCACTGCCCCCCTTGGATGGGGCTTAGGCTTCTCCCCTGCTCGGGCGAAAGCAATCGCCTGCCTTGCTGGTTGGAGAGGCTTGTTCTGGGTGATGCTGGTGAAGATGGCTTCTGCTATCGCCTTCAGCACCTGGTCATTGCGCCAAGTGTAGCGTCCTTCTCCCAGGGCTTTTGGGCAACAGCTGAGGATATGCTCTAGTGTTCCTCTTCTGAGGCACAAGGGACATGATGGTGTGCTGACCTTGCCCCAGCAGAAGAGGTTGGATGGGCTGGGTAAGATGTCATAGACGGACGCAATCAGGAACTTGATCCGGTAAGGCTCAGCTTGCCAAAGCTTGGACCAGGAGATGTTGCGGTCCACTGCCTGTTCCCATCTCGTCCATGCGCCTTGCTGTCGCATCCCCACCATCTGGCTAGCGCGCAGTTCCTCCACACCAGCCTTCACCTCCTCTTGGACCAGTCGGTGCCTGTCTTTGCTCAGGGCCTTGTCGCTAGGTTGGAACGCTACCAAGCCCTGTGGCTCAGCCTGCCCGACTGCTTCCCTCGCCCTCTACTTCCTCCCCGTCCTGACTATGATGCCAGCCTGGGAGTTATCAAGTCTGAGTCTTTTAAGTTGTGTGTATTAAGTTTCCAGAAACCTCTATTGGCTGAGGCTCCAGATGACAAAGAGGTTTTAACTAGAAGATGGTCGGAAAAAATAATTTAACACAGTTCCATAGTGAGTTACATTAAAGTTGGAGGATACGTATATTCTATCAATACGAGTTTTGGTTTTTGAATCAAACCTAGTAAATTCAGTTCCTAAGGGGTTAACAGCTCTACATATCAGTTTGATTCTTCACACATTTCCTTTAAAAGTTTCCCCTCAGAGCTCAGTTTAAACACTGTGCTGCTGACTCAGTCATTTTCTTCAGTTACTGTATTAAAATATCCACATAAAATAATATTAAAACCAACCAAAGTTAATTCTGAGAGTTTTCTGAACAACCGACACTTCTTAGTTCTTTCTGAAGCACTGTAAACATTAATATAAGCTATATTTCACCCTGATAAAAACAATCCAACATCAGCAGTCTACCTGGAATAATGTCTCTTCTCCTGATTATCTCAACATCATGAGTTTTAAAGAAAATACCAACACCGTCAGCGCTGCTCTCACCGATAGATACCGCTCCATTGTTGCTGTTGTCATGTTCATCATCATCAGTCACTACTATTAGTGTAGATGTTACTGTTGTGGCTGTGCATCTCTCTCTCTCCCTCCCCAATTGGTCGAGACAGACGACCACCCACCTAGAGCCGGAGGATCTGTCCTAGGTTTCTGCCTTTTAACAGGCAGTTTTTCCTTGCCCTTGTCTCCAAGGTCTTGCCCATGGTGGTACTGTTGGGTCTCTGTAAATAATGTTATAAAGAGTTCGGTCTAGATCTGCTCTATTTGAAAAGTGTCCTGAGATAACCTCTGTTATGAATTGGAGCTATACAAATAAAATTGAATTGAATTCAAATTATTGACATAACTGGGGTGTAAGGTCTCCATTAGTCTGGTTTCATGCTGCCAGAGTTTTTAGACATAAAACACAAACAAGTCTTTCCTCGTGTCTGACCGTATTCACGGTAAACCCAAAGGCTATCTAGGCTTCGTCGTATTTCCTGCTCTCATTAGGTTTATGCCGGTTACCGTCACTTGCTCTTCTTGCCTCTGACGCCTCCTCTGTTTTTCTTTTCACTCCTGTCAGAAACATCTCCATCTGACAACTAGTGACTGGAGGCTTGTTTATCATTCAAGCATAAATAAAGACGCTAATACTGAAAGTCCCCCCCCCCCCAGTTTAAAACATACAAACATAATCACTTATTATTATTATTATTATTATTATTATGGAAAAAAATGATTATATTTTAGTTTAATTTATTTAGTCCATCCTGCTCTCTGTCCATTAAAAGATGCTGTTGTGTCTCTTTGTTACACAACAACTCTAACAGCAAGTCCACAGGTTCTTACTTTATACATCATGTGTCACCTCAGTGCTTATATATATATATATATATATATATATATAATATGGCTCTAGACCATTTGGTGCCCTAGGCGAACTGTAGCTGATAAAAGAGGCTTCAGTTTTCCTCAGAAGGTTGACTGCAACATCCATCTGCATTGTCTCTGATTGTAATAGTTTGCTGACATGCTGAATTTTGGTCAGGATGTCATGCCATACCACAGTACAGATTGAGAAGCGGTAAGATCCAACCTCTTCGGCCAAAGATTGTGCCTCGATTTTTAAGGCTGGATCTGTGGCCTGACTTCTGCAGCCTGGTATCTCACAGCCTCTACACTGTTGATACGACTCTCCCATCTAGTATCTGACCAGGATTTCAGGGTTGTGGTCACATATTTTTTTAAGATGGACCATCTCTGTGTGGAGACAGAAAATAGTGTGAAAAGCTTCTGCAGGTAGCCAAAGTAGCTGGTGGCATCTGCAGAGCTTTTTGCTGCATCAGCTACTACCAGATTCACTATGTGTGCTCCGCATGGCACAAATAAAGCTCTAAGATGTTTTTCAAGGAGTCTGGCTTCGACACCTTTCTTCTTCCCTTTCATATTGGCACCATTGTCATAAGACTGCCCTCTGCAGTCTTCAAATGGGATGCTGAGCTCTTTGAGTCTCCTTGGGATGAGGGTTGAAAGGTTTTCTCCAGTGGACTCTTCTGCCTCAAGGAACCACATAAAATGTTCTTTTATTTGTGGGTGTCCTCAACTGCAACAAGTCAAATGATGACCGACAGTTGCTCTTCATGGCTCAAATCAGGGGTGCAATCCAAAATGATTGAGAAGTATTTATTTTATTGAATTTCTTTGACTATAACTTCCAGGAGCTTTCCACGAGTGCAATCAGTAAGTTCATTTTGAATATTTTTTCCTAAGTAGGATGTACAGTTAACTCGTGTTTCCACGTCAGCAACATGCTGCTTCAATACACGATCACATTTGTATAATTTATATTTATATAAAATTATTCTAAATTAAAATACAGACACTTTTAGTTAAAGTCAGGTAACAGCAGTATTGCATTTTTTTCATTCAACAAAGTTATTGCACATATAAATTTGAAAACGGTCCAAATGAACTTCTTGGCCGTTCTAGTTCTAAGCTAGCGTTGCTTTATTTCAACTTAGCTAGCAAGCTAATACAAATGAAACGTCTTCACACAAAACGGGATTTAAAAAAGATGACGTAATGTTATTTTTATATTGGGACTTCTCCTCCTTCTCCTCCTCCTCCTCCTCCTCTTTTCTTCTCTTTCGGTACTGCTCACTCGAGGGCTTTGACGGCCGTTTCATCTCGCCAGCAGTGTGCAAGATATATCAAAACATAACCTGTCTGTCCCTTGACGTGACCTGACCTCTGACACCTGTCTTACCCTCTGAGGTGTGCAGCCAATGACCACACGTCACGTGACTCAGCACCACAAGTGAGAAAAAAAAAGTGATATTTTATATAGTGAATATATATATATATATATATATATTCACTATATAAAATATCACTGAATCAGCAGGAGAAACAGCCGACAGTCGTTTCAGGACAATTACAAAAACATTTGTAACCATGAAAATAAACCAGTGATCAGTTTATTGATCTCCTGTGCTTCAGTTCGATAGGAACACGTACTTTGAGGTTGTCTTTAAAACAATATAGGTTAACATATGAGTGAATTCTGTCCACGGAGATATTTTAATATCAGATAAAGGGGATGTTGAGTTTAAACATTGCATTTGTTTATTTGTTTACATATAGCCGGCCTCATTAAGAAGGACAGGAATATTTATATCTTTAGTATTTGATTTTTTGTGATTCTTATGCACCAAGGCAAATTCCTCCTATGATAATAATAAACCAGATTCTGATTCTAAAGACTGAACAATTTTATTCTGTTCTTGCTGCTTTGATCAGTTAATGGACCATCCTGCCTCTATTATGCATCCTTAACCAAAGTAACAAGTTCTGCTTTAAGTTTACAAACATTTTCTTATTATTAATGCTGAAATGTGATTATCCGTGTGTATCAATCACTATCAGGTTTAATTTTTCATACACAAAATTAAAATGCTGTATCTCTTTATAGACATGCTTTGATCAAGTCACCATTTTATCAATGAATTAGTCTTTTGTTAAAACTAGTATAAGTATATAGTATGCAAAAATTAATACAATAATGCAAATGTATTATGTTCTACTTAAAGAACACAAAAACCACAATGCCTATCCTACATGGAGCCATTTATTATAAATACATTTAAAAAATGTAAGGAGCAAAAACTAACTTAATTCAATACCACAATATGAATTATATATAGGACTATAAAGCCTTGATGAAATCCATTTATGAAACTCGCAAGTAAATGTAAAATGTATTTTTCCCCCCCTCAAGATTATGTTATATATGCTCAGTGAAAACAATTTTACATTATGATACATTGTTGCCAGTTTAGTTCTAGTGTATGAATAGAGAGATTCATATTGAAGGAAACTGGAGTTCTAACGCTCCATGCTGATAAGACAAGTAAAACTGATCTCATGACCACACATATGAATATATAAAATTTCTGAGAACTAAAATAAAAAAGTGATCAGGGACTGTGAGCTCTGCAGATAAAGTGTGTGGCTCTTAAAAGAGCCTTTGGTTCGTTATCAGCGGGTCTGGATGAGCTTTAACCGCCGAAGCCGTACAGGGTGCGGCCCTGCCTCTTCAGAGCGTACACCACGTCCATGGCGGTGACGGTCTTCCTCTTGGCGTGCTCGGTGTAGGTGACGGCATCACGGATCACGTTCTCCAGGAACACCTTGAGCACACCGCGGGTCTCCTCGTAGATCAGACCGGAGATACGCTTCACACCGCCACGGCGAGCCAGACGGCGGATGGCGGGTTTGGTGATTCCCTGGATGTTATCACGGAGAACTTTACGGTGACGCTTGGCGCCTCCTTTACCGAGTCCCTTGCCTCCTTTTCCGCGGCCAGACATTTTCTTATTGTTGGTTGGTCAACGGTGAATGAGTGGATGCTGCTCGACCGTCACTATTTACAGCCTGACTGCGGACGTAGCAGAGGACAGGCAGCGCGTAGTTCACTGGGTGGAGCCTCTTTTCTACACGTCCCTGTAACACCCCTTGTTGTAAAATTACAGCGTTAACTTTATCCATCCTAAAAAACAATCTGTTATATTTTAACTTATTTTTTTACCACATTTCCATAGTGGTACATAATAGCATTGTGAGACTGAACAATAGGACCCAACGTATTGTTCAGTCTCACAATGCTATTGGGTGGTACATTTGTTTAGTCCCTCCTTATGGCCATGAACTCACACAACCTCACAAGGTTTCCTTCAAACAATATCTCTTTGTTTTATTGGACTGTATTCATCAGATTCAAGTAAGTAAAATGTTATTACAATGTCTAGAGCATTGCATATGTAGTTATTGTGGAATAGACTCATCAAATTTTTGTTATATATTTGGGTGAGTGTGGTAGTAGGCTAGGCTTGTTGCAGTGGGCACAAACAGGTTGTATTCCCTCCACTACACCACTGCCGGAAACAGAGTATTTTTTTTATACATGGACAGTATTCATTCTACCCTTGTGTTGTGTTCTGGTCAAATTTGACAGATTTAAAAGTTTTATCTCTAAAAAATGTAGTTAATTTGATCAGACTGACCTAAATTTCCATGACTTTGTCCACAAAGAGGATATCAACAGACAATTCAGTTCTGGGAAAGGTGAAAATGTTCCTGAATGTGGGGTGTGGATGGAAGTGGGGGTATGCATGTTTTCCTTTTAGTATGATAATTAGAGAACATGGCAAGCCGAATTGTTATGTCAAGGCAGTATTGTGCGACTATATGGCTGGTGGTTGGGATGCATGTTTCATTTAGCATGATAAGTAGAGAGCATAGACTAATTTACATTTACATTTACATGTAGGCCATTTAGCAGACGCTTTTATCCAAAGCGACTTACAATAAGCAGACAGTATTATCTGCCTGGAAAACATTTCTACCCTGAGCAGTTGGTCCACCACCCTATCTATTCCTTCAGGTTATGTACTACTAAAAAGCATATTTATACATGTTAATTAATTAATATTTTATTTTCAGAATGCCACCAGCAAGGACAGAGCCGCGATACAGTGTACAGGATGGGATTGATATTACCAAAACTGGAGAGAGTGAAGTTGAGATGGATCTCGATAACACTGATGAGACTGATAAAGACTCAGATGAAGATGTCTGTCAACAAGTGGACAAAGAAAACTGTCTGGATATTACAGGAGATGACATTTCCCTTGACACACTATTGGAATAATTCCAGAAGTTTGTGTCCGAAGACATGATTGAGGCTCTGACACAAAACACAAATGAGTACAGCTTTCAGACACATGGAACATCTGTAAACACCACTGCGAAGGAAACTGAAAACTGAAAAAATGTTTGGCATGTACCTGAAGATGGGCCGGGTACAAATGGCTGGAACCCGTATGTATTGGGAGACAGAGACACGGTACTCCCCTGTTGACGTCATTACATTTTGTAAACAACATGACAGTATCTGAGATGGAAAAGAAAGACAAACTATGGAAACTCAGACCATGGTTTGATTCATTCAGAGAGAAATGCCTGCAGTTGGTACCAGAAGAGCATGATGATTCCTTTCAAGGGGAAAGCCAAATATAAGTTCCCCATCAAATCCTGTCTCTGGTACATGTACATCTTATAAACACTTAAAAATAAAAACACACACACTTTAATTTCTGCATCAAAGGCCTCCTACAACAACATCTGAAAGGTAAAATCATTTTTTTCTTCTGGGGTTTTCTATATTTGGGTTAAACAGGGTTAAAATCTTTATACATTTTATAATAAAAATATTATAAACTGATTTATTCTCTTTAGTGTTGATCGTGGTTCTCGTCCTCCTATCTCCGACCTCTTATGTGACCCCGAGGTCCTCAAATGCTGCGTTCAGGTTCCCAAAACCAGAGTTTTAATCAGAGGAGATCAGGAAGGAAAATTCACTTCATTAAAACAACACTTTTATAACAATATTGCTTCCTGTGATCTTTCTATCTCACCTTTTATTCACTGTGATTGTGTTGTTTTATTTTTATATTGTTACTGATGGTTCTTAGTGTTTGATTCCTGATGTTTTACCATTAAAAGCACTTTGTAAACCTGATTTTAAATGGTGTTATTTATATATAGTTGATTCTTATTTTAACGAATCACTTTTAAATGATGAAGTGTCTCATTAATGTTCATTTAGACGCAGAAAAGATCGCTGCCCGTCCGTTTCACTCATTGCTGTGAAAAGACTGAAATAAAAAGGAGCTTTTAAAATGATTTCCATTCAGCTTCAAATCAGTTAAACATACTTTGTGTCGTCCAACAGTCGAGTATTAGACAAAAGACTAAAATACAATGAAACATTTCCAGGAATATGTAGATTATTTCCAGGATATTCGGGGACTGTGATAAAGACTAATGTAATATTGGGACAACAGCTGATAAACATCCTTCAGGTGATATTGATCACTGTGTGTTTATTAACTGTATATTTAGTGGTTTAATCTGTTGAATCAGTGTTACAGGAGCGACCTGCAGCACAGAGCAGTTCACACATATTCACATTATGTATTTTATTAGTATTTTCTGTTTCTGTCTGAACTTTAATGGCTGTGAATGATCTGTTCAGGCGGTTTCTTGGCGCATGCGCAGTGTGTAGGGTAACCACTCAGCCAATCCCGTGCGAGGAACAGCGCAGTGAGATTTGCATCATGAACATACAAAGAGAGCCGTCCGCCGGTACCGACTTCATCTGATCAAGGACATCCAATCCGGAATCAACATGCCTGAACCACCCAAAGCACCGAAGAAGGGCTCCAAGAAAGCCGTCTCCAAGGCAACCAAGAGCGGCAAGAAGAGGAGAAGGACCAGGAAGGAGAGCTACGCCATCTACGTGTACAAAGTCCTGAAGCAGGTCCACCCCGACACCGGGATCTCCTCCAAGGCCATGGGCATCATGAACTCCTTCGTGAGCGACATCTTCGAGCGTATCGCCGGTGAGGCCTCCCGTCTGGCTCACTACAACAAGCGCTCCACCATCACCTCCAGGGAGATCCAGACCGCCGTCCGCCTGCTGCTGCCCGGGGAGCTGGCCAAGCACGCCGTGTCCGAGGGCACCAAGGCTGTGACCAAATACACCAGCTCCAAGTAAACAGCTGTTTACTCAACAACAACAACGGTCCTTTTCAGGACCACCCACTGCTTCTACTGAGAGCTCTGATCCTCCTGTTACAATCACTGACATCAGAAACATTTAATATTTAAACAGCTCATCTGAACAATTTAAAATGATTTACTAAGGATTTCCTTAGTTGTCATTTAATAGGCACCTAGGTAATGCTACAATTTTAGATGATTAATATCCCAATACTTATGATCCTCACCTATACCATTGTGAGTGTATATATTGATTATTATAAATATATTAGTTTATCAGTGTTTGTTCACATATTAAATGTATCTAGTTAAACCAACCTTCCTGTATATAAAACAATTAATGTAAACATAAACCACTATTACATTTGTGTATTGGACATTTTATACTTTGTACGTTAGTAACTACATCACTTATAGTCTGGAGTTCTGGATTATATTTAATGTTATAGGGTAATAATTATTCATGTAACTTATAAAGAACAGAAATAGGGAGCTGACTGGTTCCTGACCAACACGTCACTATAATACTAATGTAGAGCAGATAATAAAGTGTTTGTGTTTTTCTTCATCATTTTACCTGATATGTGTTTTATGTGTTGTAAGGTTTCTTCCTGTAGTCACTTTCTTCTGTTTTCTGAATAAATTGGATGGTTTTGTATACGTTTGCTGTGTTTCTTCCTACAATTATAAACATATTTCTCGAGTTTTACTGTATATTTGATTTTATTTAGAAACATCACTGGATGGCAGGTTGTGCTGATTTTAGGGGAATAAACTGAATTCAATGTTTTTACCACTTTCTATATTCACAAAGACAAACGTTTGAGAGATTAGTGTCCATATAAACACATTTCTTCTACATCTGAATGATCTGAAGAAATGTACTAAGAACTGAGGAGGAGATATTCAATTAATATATAAATACATACAAATATAACTTGTTTTTGAGGTGAACAGATGTCTGATTACATTTATGGAGGGAAACTAAAGCACCGTTCATCAACAGATTAACATGGGGTTTGTGTTTAACCTTCAAAATATAGGCACGATCAGAAGCAGTTAAACTATTTAGTTCATGATCTACATTAAATTAAATTCAGGCTATATGAGACAAAAAAAGCTTCACTCTCATTTATTTTCATATCAAGAAAATACGTTTTTAGGTGATATAAGTATTGTTTAGTAGCCTATTGCATTTTAAGTAATATGATTACTTTTATTAAATCTTTTATTAAATACTATAATACTAATACTATAATATAATTTAATACTTTTATTAAATCCTATTAAATCTAATATATTTTAGACACATATCTGGTATATGTTTATAGTGTATATTATATTTGGGAATGTGTGACTGATGTCTTTCTTTGTCTAACTCATCCACAATGAGTCTTTCTCTTCTAAACATTCTGGCGGTTAAATTGAAGAATAGTCCAGTTTGAGCGGTCTTGTTTTATTGTGAAAAGGCCGAATGGCGCCAAACGGAAGCGTTCTAATGACAGGAAGCTAGAACGAGCTCGTTTCTGATTGGCCGATCAGAGTAACGCTCGCTCGCTGCTCGGTATAAAGTTGGGTTCCGCTCTCTGAGAAACATTCTCCTTTCGACTCTGACTCGAGAAATAACCTGAAAATGTCTGGACGTGGAAAGACCGGAGCCGGAAAGGCCAGAGCAAAGGCAAAGAGCCGATCATCCCGTGCCGGACTCCAGTTCCCCGTCGGCCGTGTCCACAGGCTGCTGAGGAAGGGAAACTACGCTCAGCGTGTCGGTGCCGGAGCTCCGGTGTACCTGGCCGCCGTGCTGGAGTACCTCACCGCTGAGATCCTGGAGTTGGCCGGAAACGCCGCCCGTGACAACAAGAAGACCAGAATCATCCCCCGCCATCTGCAGCTGGCCGTCCGCAACGACGAGGAGCTGAACAAACTGCTCGGTGGAGTCACCATCGCTCAGGGAGGCGTCCTGCCCAACATCCAGGCCGTCCTGCTGCCCAAGAAGACCGAGAAGGTCGCCAAGAAGTAAATACCCGGATCCGACTTGAACACAACACAACGGCTCTTTTAAGAGCCACACACTCCTAACTAACGAGACAGTTCCTCTTGATTATCAGTGACTATTACTGAGAAGTTATCAATGATATGAATAACAGCCACTATATATATATATATATATATACTTTATTTATCCTGAGTAATCCTTGTGTATGTTTCCAACAGTAAACAATAAACCTACAATGAGAAACTTATAACACAGTGAACTGTGCAGATGGAGGCAGGATTTGTCCTTTATCCTCCCTTGCTCTAACTAGGAGCTGTTGCAGTCTGTAAATAAAGGAACACATTAACATTGTTTACAGAAACAGGTAGCTGGGATAACTTAACAGTGTATAAAGTCAGGAAAGTAAAGAAACAGTTTGAATATAAAATTTGCTAAAATGGACTTAGTCTTTAAGTAGACTAGCATGTAACTAAAAATAGCATCACCATGATTTATAGGAACAAAAATGCAGAAACGGTTCAATAATACTTATGTTGGATTTGAATATAGATAATTGTATAATTTTATCTGCAATTTATGCTGCTAAACTGCATTTAACTGCAGTCTTTCTTGCATTTAATTACTCGCTTTCTTTTTTTCTACTTATGTTATCTGTATGTGCTTACATTTGGCTAATTGATTTATTTTAGGTTAGCCTTTATTTTATTTCTTAACTCTAACCCTGTATTACTTTCCCACTTTTGTATTGCAACAGTAAGGATTCAATACTTTGCCATACAACTCAGTGCAAGTTGCTATGGATTTGCTTCAGTGTGCTCAGGACATCAACATATTGATACATATACGATATCCCACACAGTATCACACTTGATACACGCAGATAAAAAGAAAAGGCCATACTGTTCACAACATACCTGGATGACAGAGTGATAGATGTCAAGTTAAAGTTATATGGTGCATGGGGATGCAGAGCCCAACACAGACTGTAGTTCTATGTATGAGTAGTCACTCTCAATGAAGCTATTAAACAGAAATATACATGTATTGGTGGGTAAGTAATATAATGTTGAAACTAATGTAAAGGAATACATATAAAAGCTATTAGGTCAGTGAACCACCACTATGTAGTATACATTAATATACTATTGCTTTCCATATGGACATTAGTAGAGACAGTAGGAAGTTAATTAGAATGCAAACATGTACAACTCAGTAAATCTTAACTAATATGATATAAAAGCCTTATTGTGCATAAATAGAGAATATTGATTATTAATAAAAGAAGCAGCTGTATGAACTGACGGAAACTTTGCTCTCTTATCGGATGTATGTGGCTCTTAAAAGAGCCGTTGTGTTGTTGGTTATCGGGTCTCAGGTCAGTTTAAGCCCTCTCTCCGCGGATACGGCGGGCCAGCTGGATGTCTTTGGGCATGATGGTCACCCTCTTGGCGTGGATGGCGCACAGGTTGGTGTCCTCGAACAGACCCACCAGGTAAGCCTCGCTGGCCTCCTGCAGAGCCATGACGGCGGAGCTCTGGAAGCGCAGGTCGGTCTTGAAGTCCTGAGCGATCTCCCTCACCAGGCGCTGGAAGGGCAGCTTGCGGATCAGCAGCTCGGTGGACTTCTGGTAGCGGCGGATCTCCCTCAGAGCCACGGTACCGGGCCTGTAACGATGGGGCTTCTTCACTCCGCCGGTGGCGGGGGCGCTCTTACGGGCAGCCTTGGTCGCCAGCTGCTTCCTGGGAGCCTTTCCTCCGGTGGACTTACGGGCGGTCTGCTTGGTTCTGGCCATTGTTGATTATTAGTCTTCTCTGAGTTCACAGCGAAAGAATGAATTCTCACTGCGAACAGCGGCTTTATGAAGGAACTGCCGCAGCGAGGTCGGCGCTGATTGGTCCAGCCACAGTTGCGCGCGCGTTCTAGCTCATCGACTATTGGCAGAAAAAAATCAAACTAACCAATCAGCGACAGGCTGTTGAACAAGAGAGACACCAACGGTTGTCTGGTTGAACCGGTTTCATAGAGACTGTTTATATCCATTAATGTTAAACATCCTGAACCACACTGTGTGTAGATATATATAGTAATCTATTACATTATTACTCTGAACTATTTATTGAATTATTAATTATTAATTAAGTATTGTGCTGATACAATTACTTCATTTTCAGACAGAAACATTGTACTTGTTTATTTTACTATATTTAACGACAGTTTGATACTTTGAGACTTTACAAACTAAATATAATAAATATTAAATCATCATTATACATTATAAACTATTCAGCAGTGTGAAGTGATATCTGAGTACTTTCACCAATAAATGATCAATTAGAGAAAGGGTGAAAATAATCATTATGAATTCACATAATTATATTATATATACATTAATGCACTTTTGGCACTGGTTGCACTTTAATGTTGTAAAGTTGTCTTGTAAAACTTCAATAAAGTTTATTTTAAAGTGGAAATAATCCACAATGGGCCCAAATAATTGAATGATTAAAATGTCATTAAGATTTTCATTATAAACAGATTTATTCATACATATACAAACATCATCAACATCACAATAATGATGCTTTTTATTGTAACAATAAAATAATTGAGGTCTGTAAAATAACATTCAGAGGAAGATATATTGACTGTAAGGAGCAGAAATATTAATCAGTTATATTTGCTTGAAAAAAAAACAACCTAAATAAAGTTTTAACTAGAAATCAATTTTATTTCTTCAGAGATCAATAAAACATCCATTAACACATTTAATGACCTATTGGTGATGTTAGATGTCTTCAAACTGACACCAAACTGGGGTGTCCAGACATTTTAGGGCAGTGGCCCCCCGACCCAACTCCTCTAGATCCGCCCCTGAAAATAACTTTTCAGCTAAATTATGTTAAAAAAGCTACAAAAGTAATAAACGTACAACTACTATAAACATAGAAATACATAAATAAAATGTTAAAGAGTCAAAATTATGTAAGTAGAGCAAGTTAACAACAAACTAGTTTTATTTTATTTAAATTCTGACCATTTAAAAATAATAATAATGTTATAAGTGTAGTAAATGTGTATTTTATGAAACGCTTGAGACATTAACACGAATAGAAAACACGAAAAAAGCACCGTAACAAAAATATATTCTATAATAGAAATTTATAAAACTGAATTCCTTAAACTAATTTGGGACGAGTGCAACAGACTAATAATTAAACTTAAATAAATTAACTTTGTGTTATTTGTAGAGTGACTGAAGATTCTTCTCATCAACATTATTGTGACACTGAATGACTGAAATATAAAACAGGACAATAATTATAACCCCATATTGAGCCGATAGCTGTAAATGTACCTGAATATCTAATATTTAATAAAGATGTACAATAACAACCTCCAGTTGTATAAAGTATATACAGTATAAGCAGTAGAGGATGGAGGAGCTGCTCTTTAGTAGAAGCTGTGGTGGCTCTTAAAAGAGCCGTTGGTGCACTGAGTGCAGGATTAAACCGCTTTACTTCTTGGTCTTCTTGGGAGCTGCTTTCTTTGCCGGAGCTTTCTTTGCCGGACTCTTCTTCGGAGCGGCCTTCTTCACCACCTTCTTGGCGGGAGCCTTCTTGGGACTCTTCTTCACTGGCGCCTTCTTGACAGCTTTCTTGGCCGGTGCCTTCTTCGGGGACTTTTTGGGCGCCACTTTCTTGGGTGTCGCTTTCTTGGCGGCGGTTTTCTTGGCTGCGGGCTTCTTGGCTTTAACGGGGGCCTTCTTCTTCACCACTTTCTTCACGGGTTTGGCGGCTTTGGTCTCCTTCTTGGCGAGCTTGAAGGATCCGGAGGCGCCGGTCCCGGAGGTCTGGGCCAGGGTGCCTTTGGTCACCAGCTTGGTGACGGCGGTGTTGATGCGCTTGTTGGCCTTGGCCACATCGACGCCTTTGCCGGCCAGGACCTTCTTCAGCCCCGCCAGTGACAGCCCCTTGCGCTCCTTGGACTCGGTCACGGCGCTGATGATCAGCTTCGGGAGGGTGGGTCCATCCTTCTTGGGCCGGGGAGCCGACTTCTTCTTCGGGGCCTTGGCCGGGGCTTTCGCCGGGGCGGCTGCTGGAGCTTCTTCTGCCATGTCTGTCAGTCTGTGCTGTGTCTGTGTGAAGGTGTCCGAGCTGAGAGCAGGAGGCGGGACTTATAAAGCACATGAGAACCGTGGAGAGTCAACCCGCGCCGCCGCTCCGCCGTCCTGCTCTCGTGTGGCGACACTTTGTGTTTTCTCCTCCACATTTTGGGGATAAAATTCAGCGAGAGAAACGTTTGAGATCACAACTGTTGTTGTTTCGGGGAGAAAACGCCCGTCCCTTCGCACTCGGCTCCGTGTTTGGCGCCGAGGACTCGCTGATTTACTTCCAGGACGCTTCAAACCTCCGTAACACACAGTCACTTTGTGCAACTCGCAGTCTGTCTTCACGTTTCGTCTCCTAAAATGTATAAAATCTGTCGGTATGTGAAAGTCCCAGTGGTGTTACAGTGAGCAGAGACATGTGAGCGGACAATAAGAGTGAAATCGCGGCGGTGGACGGATTTATTTGCTCTGAATCAGAGAAGTTTTGTGCGGAGGTAAACACACGGGTGCCGCCGGTGACTCAGGCGGTTCTCGGACTCCTGTCACAGATGGATCCGCCGGGAGAAAAACTCCAGTTTCCACCAAATGTCCCATTGAACGTGAAGACACTGATAACACAGTTTAATATGTTAATAATCCTCTGATTCAACCTTTTAATTCACTTACATTTCTGTCTCCTGCTGTACCTGAATCACTTCAATCTGCTGCACATTAATATCACATTGTACACACTCTCATATATTCCTCAGTTCATTATTATTTAAATCATATTTACAACCTTTACTGACACTGAGTGTGTTCACAGGACTTTATTAAACTGCTGTAACACATAATGAAGTAACTGCAGTGAACAGGAGATAAAATAATATGTAGGTTCAGTGTTAGTTTATAATGTTTGATCATTTTAAAACAAACAATATTGGCTTTGTTTGAATAAAAGTCTTTAAATTGAAGTTTTAAGTTGAAGTTCAACAGTTGTTGTAGTTGAGTTATGATCAATAAAAGAGTCAAAATTCAACTGATTAATATACTTTTACACTAATGACTGCAGCCCAATAATTATATTAAACAATCTGATGATTCAGTGATTTTATCTTATTTTAAATGTCAGTAAAACACAGCAGATGTTCATTGATCCGACACTACAGTGACTGATCTGGAGCCAGCGGTCGTCAATAATCAGATCAATACCTGCTGTACAATATCACATTTCTCTATTATACAGTAAAATACTGTACTTTATATTGCATTGTGGGTAATTTCATACAGCAGGAATATATTATTATTTTTAAAACTATAAAGTATATTTAAGTATAATAATATTGATAACTGAAGAATACATAATTATTAGTAATAATAATTAATATAATGTATCAATATTAATATAACGGATATATTTCAGCACAATATAATAAAATACAGTAAAATGTTGTTTTTAAGTGATATTTTTCTGTTTTCTGTAAATAGTTTTATAGAATCAGAATCAGGTTTATCACCAAATAGTTTTCACTTATGAGGAATCTGATTTGGTACTTTGGTGCAAAAGAATCACAAACAAGATACAAACATATAAATAAACATAAAGATAGAGACAATAAAAAGGAGGAGCTTCTATAAACAAACATAAAGAGTGAGAGAATATTTATTGTGGCGTGAGGATTTGGTCCTGATAGACTTCCTGAAGTCCACAACCATCTCCACAGTCTTTAGAGCGTTGAGCTCCAGGTGGTTCTGGCTGCACCGGGTCACCAGATGATGGTCCATCTCCACCAGAGAGGAGCCCGATGAGGGAGCTGTCCTCCATGAGCTTCAGGATCCTGACGGACTGATGAGGTGCAGCTGTTGGTGTACAGGAAGAAGATGAGAGGAGGAAGAGCGCTGATGAAGGATCCGCTGCTGATGGTCCAGGAGTCAGAGACCATGTTCCTCCAGCTTCACCTGCTGTCAGACAGGAAGTCTGTGATCCACCTGCAGGCGGACTCAGGTACAGCGAGCTGGGAGAGCCGGTCCTGGAGCAGAGCTCGAGTCCACAAACAGGATCCTGGCAGAGACCTGTTGGTTCTGTAGGACCGCAGGAGGTCCGGGACCGGCTCTGTTAGCGGTTGTGAGGAGATAAATTACAGTTAATGTCATTTAATGTCAAATCTAAATACAGCGACGTTTATTTAAATGTTTATTTAAATGTTAAAGTCGAATGTGTCTTTCTGCTTTTAACATGTTGATTGTTATTGTTTGTTTGTTTGTTTATTATTGTGATCAACAGATTGCAGCACTTTATAAAACAAACAATAATATTTATAACTGAGTGTTTCTCATACAACAGATTTATGATCATTTGATGTCTTATTTAATATTTCAGTATATTGATGAATTTAATGTTTATTGTCCAAAGAGACGAAAGACAAACATTCACACTGAACATTGACGTTGCAGAAATATTGGAAACAACAATTTAATATAAAAAGATTAAACTCTATTTATTGTTATTTTTTCTTTTCCAAACTATTTACTGTGAAAGTTTTTAAAATTTTGGAAAATAAAATATTTATTAGAGTTTGAATGTAAATATATTAAATATATTGAAACATGATGTAAATGTAAATATAACATTAATGTGACTTTGAGCCGGAAATATTACAACAACTTTATTTTAACTGTAATTTCTCTTTAACAATTTTATTAAATTCTGATTGAATCGTATTATTGATCAAACAGGTTCAAAATCCACATTCATATTAATATAACGTGAAATAACAAATGTGTCCCAGCTGACTTTAAACAACATAATGAAGACAAACAGAATGACAACACAAACTTGAACTAACTCATATTTTATTATCCTGTTATTGTAGATAATAATTAATGTTTCTGTTTTCTAAAGGCTGATAATGATTTTAACTTTAATCAGCTTCAGTTTGTCTGGAAACTTCCTGATTTTAATGTTAATAATTTCACTTTATAATCAAATATTCTCTCTCGAACACAAAATGAAGTTTTATTTTCTGTCCCAGACGTCCAATAAATAAATAATATAAATAAATAAATAATAATGGAAAGAAAATAAAATTTCTACCTGAGCAACTTAAACTGGATTTATTTTTGCCACATCAATATATCAGTATATCATTATCAGTATATCATTATCAGTATATCAATATACCAATATATCAATATGAATCCCATCTGTATCAATAACTGTATAAAATGACTCTTTTTTATTATCTTGTATTTTTTATTTCATGTGTATTTTTCTGTTGTCAGTGAATTTATTTATTGATCCTGTGTGTGATCAATAAAGTGATCTGATCGTATCTCTCCTGACCCACAGCAGTAAAACTCCAGAGCAAACAGCGCCACCTGGTGGTCACACAGTTTCCTGCACATATAATCTTAATGAGGCAGTTTATTAATTATAAAGAGAAACTTTGTGAATATTTAACATGTCAGAATAATGGAGCACCCGATTTGACTGTTATCACACCATTGAATAATCGTCAATCATCCCACAGATAATTTTTCTGTGTAAATTTGTAATGTTGCAATATGAATCCTGTTCATTTATTTATTTATGTTTATATTTGAATAGGTCAATATGGTGAAAATAAAAAAGATCAGACCTTTCGTCACTGTGAAACGTTACCCCTCAAAAGGAAAGTCAACGGTGTCGAGGAGGTTTTTGAAAGGGAGGACCCCTTTGCCCCCAAAGCCCACTGAGGTTGGTTGCTGCTCGTTTGCACCACCAGCTACTGGCAGGGACTTACAAGAGGAGCATGAAGGTGGTACCAGCAGCAGCAGCCAGAAGAAGCTGGATACCGTGGAGGCCTGGAAGAGGAAGGACACTTCTCGGTGTGAGTGCAGAGCTCTTCTGTCCTCCTGACACTGCAGCCTGTCCGTCAAGTTTCCCTCAACAGTGAGGATGTTGAAATCCGGCGATGCAGTGAAACATTCTTCTGAGCCGTCTGTGTCCAGACTGTTCATGAAGCCTCTGCTGTAGTGCATATGCTTGGAAGTGTGAGGTTTGTGCTATTCAATACTTTTCTCCATTTTGCAAATGTCTAAACAAAAGGCATTTTGTATCTCTGACAGTGTATTTTAAGTTTTCTAAAAACAATAGTCCTAGAGTAGTACAGAATATAGTGTGTATGTAATGCTTACCTTATGATAATGATGCCAAAATGAACTTTAATGTCTTCACTCTGTGTGAAGCGGACACTCATTCTTGTTTCATAATGTACTGTGCACTAAAAAGTTTGTATTGTGATCTTTCTATTTAAGGAAGGTGAATTCAACAGACTGTTCCTGTAGGCTTTAGGTGGCATTGGACAAGGAAGGATGGCCATCAATGTGACACGTCATTTGCACGTCAAATAAAACTGTTTGATCAGCAAGGTAAATAATACAGTACATCAGAAACAGTCACATCCACCCTGCACAAAAAGGAAAGTTGTTAAAAACTACAGCATTTAACAGCTATTCTGTCATGAATTGTAGGAAGGACTCATGATGTTTGGATGCAGTTCTGCCACAGTGAGATGGAAGTTGCGACACTTTGGCCAGCCACAGTGAAGCAACCTCAAAGTGCCATTTCCCTGAAGCTGATGGACGTGATCTGCCGCTTACAGCTGGAATCTGGTGCATCACTGAAGGGTTTATGTGCTGCAATTCAGGGTTCCTCAGGTCCCTCCAAGGTTTGTTTATTAGTAGCTTCTGTCATTATATTCCTCTTTCACGATCACCTACATGCAAGGTTCCAATTTCAAAAACACCTTTTTATAACTGTCCTATTGTGATTATGATAATTTGCCTTATAGTGCCAAGACCTTTATTGAATACTCATCAGTGAGTCCTTTGAGGAATACAGACACTTCAGATACCACTGCACCATCTTGGACCTGATACAACAGATGGGACACACTGTCCTCTCTGTCCACAGGTATGATGTATTCAACTGCAAAATGTTGTATTTAAAGCATTAATAGTTTGTGAAAGGATAACACAATTAATTAATGAATTATTAATAAATTAAACAACAATTACAACCAGTCAAATAATATTATCTGAAAGATCAGCATTCAGGCATATCATGGTCTGGATTACAAATGTTCCACTACACAGCATTTACTCTTACTGCACAATAACTGGATTTGCTTTTCTGGCTTCATGATCAAGAAAAACAAATGTTATGTTTAGTTTGGAAGTTGTCACAGATACCTAATGGCATACTTTAACTCTGACTGTCACTTATTATAGAAAGATGGATGTCTGGTTCTTGCTGCGGACGGACTATTTGGACTTCCGAGGAAGAAATCGTCTGGAAGTAGTCTTGAAGGGCCGAAACACTTCAACCGATTCTTTTGCTCTCAAGATCTTGTTGATGCTTTTATTGGAGAGAAACAACATTCTTCTGAGGAGGTAAAGTTTATATATTTGTATTTAATACCTTCCTCCTTCATTACTGGGATGTAAAAATCTACTAAGTGTTAATCCAACATGGATTTATCCATAGTTTATGTTCACACATTAACCCTAGAAAAATGAATCTTTATATTTCTTGTATGTTTAGGACATATGATCAAATAGTGATTTCATCTCTCTTGCAGAGAAGCCAGATCAACTTTTGATTGTTATTTTCATGCTAATGGCATGATATGCATAATTAGTGATCATGAATGTACTGGAGAGGCAAAATCTTGCCCTCCGTTGTTAATGCAAAATGTTAAGTGGAATTATACACCTACTGTGTGGACACTGGTGGAGAGCCCGGAATAAATATGAATGTGTTCTTTGAAATGTATGCAATATATCAGTTTGAAAGAGTAATGCATGGACAGCAATGTGGATAAAACATATACACCAACTACAGGGTTGTGTCAGCTTTCAAGCAGGTAGTGCACTCAGGTCAAAGGTGAAGAACTCCAAATTGGATGAGACAGGTGTTTTTGGCATATCCTATAAGCATGAAGATCCACGTCGCTTTCTTAGTCTGAAGAGAGGTGAAAGGTAAATCCTAAGCTTGCACTTGCACATAATAATGTGGTGTTATGGTGGCCTGTTTAATATGAAGTCTGTTTTTTCTTTTAGCCTTTCGAATGCTGTCTACCTGCTAAAGGAACTGCAAGAACAGTTTGGGACAAGCAAAATAATTGTCTTCATGTATGATATTGCTTGCAGATTAAAACCTCACTTGCAGGTAATTTTTTTATGCATCTTTTATTGCTTGTCTTCCAATATCTATATAGGTATTCTTGACAAGCCAAACTACTACTTCTCCGTCTATACATATATGTATATATAAGGCATATACTGTACTGTATATGTATGTGTATAATTTATTATTTCTGTTTCCCACAGAAGTTTTATCCGGATCTTCTGACAAAGAAGCTGACATTTGCTGTTCCTGCGTTCCATGCTTATGGACATGATGTTGCTTGTCAGGTTGTCATAATAATCTTTTGACTGTTAAAAGCTATGCTAGGCAGTTTATCACTAATTGAAATGATAAACTTCTGATTTTGTTTTGATTATGTTTTGTAGATTTCATACAGCTGTAGGAATGTTGAAGGTGCAGGTTTAGCTGATGGGGAACAGCTGGAACGACTGTGGTCATACCTACGCCGTTTTGTAAGGTGACTAAGGAAAGTTGACCTGCTGACTGATGCTTTGCTGCACTACAGCTCAAAGATAAGAAACAGCCATGGTAAAGGTGTAGTGTGTGTAGTCATGTCATTGTATACATGTTCCTTGAAGATGCTTTAACGATGTACAAACAACTTTTTAAGCAATTATTATCTTTATCTGTTTAATATATTCTTTTAATGTGTCTGGTTTGTAAAACAATTGATATGCTATGAAGACAAATACAACAATGATATAATGTCTTCTTTATTAAATCCATTTAAAGCAAAAGCCCTGGCTCTCAAAGCTGCAAAGGTCAACTCAGTTGAGGATGAGGCAGATGCAGAGATGGCTGAAATCATGAAACATACAGGCAAAACACAAAATGCATTGTAGGTTGAAAAAAAAGTGCAGAAAAAGAGAAAAGTATTTAAATGTAATGAGGATCATTTTACTAATAATATACTTTCAGGTTTCAAAGTGTTTAAGTATGTCATGTTTTCATTTCAAGGCCTTACAGAGCAAGATATACAAGTCTGGGCAAGTCAGTACCGGACAGAGGCCAGGTAGTCTGCAGAGTGGACCTGGGAAGAGGACTATGTCCAGAAACTGATGGGGCACCAGGAACTGTGAGTTTTTAGAGCAACAAATGTTGAAGATATTCTAACTGCTTGAGAGGAAATTACAAATAACCTCTCTGTGTAGCTCAATACCACAGATAGTGACAATTAAATTGAATCTACGCCTTCTTATTTAACAAATAACAAAATCTAAACATAAGGACATGGTAGTAGGGCTGGGCGATCAAATGACAAAGATATATATCACAAAACAACTTTTCCTCTATAGAAATATGAGACATGATCGATATAATGTCAATAGATTAAATTAATCCGTATTTTGACAGACAATACCAATGATGATGATGATGAGAGTTGCGTTGCATGTGGCTGGAATAGAGCCACGCCAAGTTAGGTTGAACCACACAGTACAAGAAAAGGCACAGCACACTTAAACAGAAGTCATTTTAAATAAACCTGTCTGTTTAGCACTATTGATTTTAACAAACAGTTTTAGCGTCAGGAGTTAGCAGAGGCAGAGAGGCCAGACCCGGTTACAGGCCGCTGCTGTGGACAGGTTCAGTAACGGCTCTAGCAGAGAACCTCTGAGCCATTTTCAACACATGAAATGCTGATTTTTATCAATTTGGTGCCAATGTCAATATTAACAGCACCATTGATGTGTTTCATCATAGTACAGTTATATATTATTTAGTTAACACCTCAAAAAACACATTTAAGTGTTTAGTATCTCTTTAAAGTCCGATAAGAAAGAGTAAAGTGCACTGTATGTCATGCATAAACGACCAGCAAATTTAATGGTCTGTTCAACTTTTGACAGTAAAGTAATATTCAAATCAAAAATAACCTTCTGATATATTCAAGTCTCACTTATGAGTAACAGTAAGCTTGATCTAATGACTGGACAAATTTTTGATTTTGAAATTTTGTGATCGGATTTTACCCATATTGCCCAGCACTACCTGGTAGTTCTGCTGCACTTTTTTTGTTTAACCAGTAGCACTCAGAGAGCACAAACCCCCGCCAGAGCAGCACAGTTTGCCCTCTGCAACACTTCCAAACAAAACAACACAATCACCAGCAGAAATATAACTTCCTTGGCTGAGTTAAGAATCATAAATGCAATATGCAGCCTGCAATTCCAATATTATTTCTGTTGTTAACAGTTAACTGTTTACTGTTTACCTTGTTTTTCCCAGACAGGGCTTGAGCAGTGAGACAGCCAGCTGCACTCGGGATGTCACAACACATCTTGATAAGTAAGTATAACTTTACTTGGATCCATGGATGTGAGGGTAAACAGTGAACAGTGATGGTGTTGATATTAACTGCAAATGCTTAAGTCTAAATTAGGTCAATCAAAAGCTGTATTTTGAAAAGTAGATATATGAAATGTGACATTTGGTTAACATTTTCTATCATTCATGAACTTGAATCAACCATTTGTTTTGCAGATGGACAGAAAATTGCCATCAAACTTTCAAAGAAGATCTCTTCGATATGCCAGAGGACAAAACAAAAGGTGAAAGACTTCAACATTGCCACCAGAGCAGTCAACCAGCCACATGCCTTGGAGTACCACAATGTGATTCAAATCGACAGCCCCATCTGGTCAACCCTTACCACCAGAAGAATGGATAACCTACCTGTCAAACAGCCACTCTTTGTGTTGTGGAGTACAACAAGAAGGGCAAATGAAGAGAGGGCATGCTTGGTGGAAGAGTGCAAATCAGCAAAAACCTTCTATGAAAAGCAGCTCTTTCAGATTGACAAATACGCCCAGCCAGAATGTCAGTCCTCAAATAGACAGGACCGAGACACAGCTGCAGCTTTCTGCCGTAAGAGGAGGGAATTCTCAGAGCATCTCTCACAGTTTGCAAGTCTCCTCACAGCAATGACGACAGATGCTACTTTTGTAAACAGTGAAGAATCTGATACTGATGAAGAGGAGGATGATGAGGATGAAGACGAAGGCGATGAGGTGGAGGACAAGGAGGAAGACATTAATAATTTTGTTAAAAACAAAAGAACCTCTGTGTCTCTGTTACAACCTGCTGATGACTGTAACAGTCTCAGCTCAGTGGAAACTTCCCTCTGATAACATCCCGTTTGAAGCTTTGCAATAACTGTAATACTGTTGATCCATTGTTAGGTGTCGTCTTGTTAATCACCTTGTTATAGAACAGCATGTTAAGTATATATACATATATAAACTTAACATGCTGTTCTATCTCCAGCTGCTTCCGTCCATAAGCTTCTTCAGTGTGAAGTCATTTGGCAGCCCCTTAACCTCTATATCCAGCGTCTGGTTAACCAGTGCCTGGTATGGAAGGCGTCCAGAGCCGCCTGTAACACCTTTAAAAGATAAAAATAAAACTGTTTGGACAAATTCACCTCATAAATGCTGAAAAAATGTACAGGATATGCATTGAGGTCAATTTGTGCACAGCAAAAATCATCACAAGTATGAGTCATCATGACTCGAGCATTTCATATAATATACAAAGTCAACAGACAAATAAACAAAATAGGCAAGACACTCAATTAGAAAGACCTTTGCATCTACTTCATATTCATTCAATAAATCATGCGTAATCATTAAAAAACTAAGTATACAAGATACAGATCAGGATCAGGTCATGTCCATATCAAACTTCAGACAAAGTGATCTCAGTAACATCGAGGGTAACATGACTAATGAAACTAAAGCGTAAGTTCAGACAGAAAGATCCTTCATTGCATGCACAATCAAGCTTCCCTCTCTCCCTATCATCAGGAGCGTCCCTCTAAATGTTAAACCAATCAGATCATGCCACAAGTCATCTATCATCCAATCACAAAGTATCTGTCAAACTTTAAAAGCTCATTAATTTCTCCCCCTCCGCCGGCTGCCGTCATTTTCACCTCAATGCTCATTTCACCTCCTGGCATCATCTGGCACAGTTTCCCCAGAAAGCAGCTGCATGCACACAGTGGAAAGATGAAAGTTAAGTTAGTGCTAATGTAAGGATATGACATGAAAAATGTTAACTCATGATGGATATTACCTGCAAAATGAAGAGCAAAATTGTTTGCTGTGTCAGCGGAATCCAGGACACCTGAGACCCTGATGACACAGGGTTCAGGCAGTCCACGGATAATACAGCTGTTTCAACGCCCAAGTCCTCCAGTTTGGACACCTTCATCACAACAAAATCAAAAAGACATAGAACTAAAACAGGATCATGAACACACTGATTGACTTGTTTATTGTGCAAGTTCAGTAAAAATGATGCTAGAATAAATATTAAAGAAATCAATAAAATTCTCTCTCTCATTTTTTAATGCAACACCATGGACACTTCACAGACATACAGTAACTCTAACAAACCCCTAACTTAAGCTGCTTCATGTGTTTTTTAATTTTCAAGGTCCTCATTTCAGGACTTACCTCCTGTGACTTTGTTGAGGCCTTTAAAGCTGCTGCCTCCTGCTGGTATCTCTCCCTTGTCTCTTTCCCTAAACTGGACCAGATCTTTCATTGTGCCTGGAAAAAAAGTTTATTATTTATTAAATGTATTAAGTATCTGTGCTCACAATTCACAAGTGTACAGAAAAATTTAGGCTATGGCCATAGACCAAAGTTAGTAAAGGATAGTAATGTTACGCAGTGACTAAAATTACTTAACTGAAGAAAAGACAGAATTCACATATATATATATATATATACATATGTGTGTTACACTGAACAATAATTAATCTATAAGCTTTGACAGAATTACTTACCCTTTTTCTTTAAAACATCCCCACCCCTTCTTGGGGTCAGAGGGACCCTTGAAGGCCCTCTTATAATTTCCAATCCAATTCTGAAAGAACAAATACATTCAAAATAAAAAAGGAAGCAAAGGATTTTAACAATATCATTGTGTAAAATATTTAGAAATACACTTCCCCAATAATACCACAATAATCCACAATAATACTGCGACTGACAGGTATACACACCTCTACAATGCTGGTATCTAAACCAGTTAACCCTGAAGCCTCTAAAGTGAAGGGTGATCCGACTCTTGTCATTCCTCTGTCAAAGAATGACTTGGGTACCGTCTCTTCATCAATTTTAGTACGTTCTGATTGATAAAGAAAAGGAAAAAGAATTAGTTACAAAGGTCAAGTCACTGAGCTTCACCTCCATTATGGCAAATAAACCACTTTCACTACTATGAGGCAGAGGAATAACTTAACGATCAACACACCACAACAGGAAAAACAGAAGTAGCAGGAGATTTAGATGAATACAAGCCCTGTTCGGTTACAGTAGTTAAAAACTGTTGTGGGTTCAAGAGAGGTTGTGCACTGTGAGAGTCAAAATAAAGAACTTCCTATGTCTTAATTGGACACTTTTGAGTCACATTTCCAAACCCTTTCTGTTATTTGACAACACAGACTGAAAAACATTTAAATGAAACTGTATTGTTGTGAATTCAGCTGTAGTAAAATACTGTCAAGGCATGCACAGACAAAATCAGAGACACAAACAGATATAGAGGTATGTCTCATTTCTCACACTGACCATATTTAGTTATATATATATATATATATATATATATATATATATATATATATAACTTATACTGTATTCTAGGTGGTGACTCTTGCTAAATGTACACTTACCTCCAGTTGTCTCAGCCATGATGAGCCTGAAATGAATCAATACAGAACAATGAAAATTCAGCACCATGGTGTCAAGCAAATTCAAGTTGAACTAAAACAACCTGACATATATTGATATGATGTAATCACTACTGCCAGGTGAAACATCTGAAGGCATCTATTCTATTTCAGATATTTATCACAAATAACGAACATTTGCAACTGATCATTATTGTTTTATCACATAATTCACAAACACTGTAACAAACCTGCTAACCATACGTCTCCTTCTTCTTCTTCTTCTTCTTCTTACAGGTTGCTTAGCAACCACTATAAACTATCGCCAGACAAAAAGGGAATAATGTGACTCTTGTTGAAAGAGAAGGCATATATAATAATATTTAATATTGATTGACAAATACAAAGAAATTTAGATGAATAAATTATTACAAACGAAAACAACTTTATTTCTCCTAATCAACGGAGATATAATTGTAGCTGATGGCCTGAATATGAACCGTCATGTTGTAGAATTATCAAGGACACTCGTATTTTTATTTTGAGAAATGTTAAAGATTTTTTTTATCTTAAAATGTTTTTCCACTAAAATTAAAGAAAATGCAGCCATTTTGTTTTTTTCCGCAGACAGAAATCTGACAGTCACGTGACTGCTCTGCTCGATAACACACCTTCTGTACCTGCTGGGCTTGAATAGCATTGGATCAGGTGAATGGGTGATAACTGCCTCCTGCACCTACTAGTACGTAGAGTAGGCCCCTACTGGCCCCTATCTGTGGGATGATTGACGATTATTCAATGGTGTGATAACAGTCAGATCTGGTGAAAACATATTAGTTTCCTCGTTGGTGTAAACGTATGAAATCGTTTTGCATTCACTGGAAAATTTATTTTATGGTTGTTTTTCTGAGTAATTTTTTTCTGTTTTTCGGACTAATTATTTCTCTGAGTTTAGAGCATTTGAAACAATGGACACATTCATTACTTTATTGAGAGCTCATTTAACAGAAACAAACATAACCGGCTGTTCAGTCAAGTGTTACTTTGATCTGTGTTTCAGACACTGGGAGATAGTCCTGTCTTTAAGTCATATAGATGGTATTATCATTAGTCTGTCGCCTCTACGCAGGAAACTGAGGACGGTAGATAGTTGAAGATGGGGCATGTATGTGCGGGCAGGAGTCACTATAGGTCGATGGGAGTCACTGCAGGTTGGAGGTTCTCGCGGGAGTTTGAATTATCTCGATAATTCAGGAAAAAAATGACTCCGAAAAACAGAAAACAATATATAAAAAAAAAACTATAAAAAATTAAAGAAATTGCTCAGAAAAAAGTTTTTGTTTTAAAGTGAATGCGATACACTTCCGTATCAACGAGCTTCAAACGTTTCCAGTCTCCTCGTTAGCATAACGGACAGTATCTCTGTCTCAGGGAGCTCAGCAGCACTTTCACATATTTACACCAACACAGGAACTAATCTGAGCTTCAGTATCTTTCTCAAGGATACGTCCACTGGACCCAAGCTGGGAATCGAACCCGCATCCCTCCGATTACCGGACGGTCCGCTCTTCCACCGGAGCCACAGCCGCCGGCAGTGATTCATCAGGAAGAGGCAGTTTGAAACAAAACGTCCCGTATTTGGTTCCGAGTTTATAACAATGAGACTGAATAAAGTTTATTTCTATTGAACAGTTTAAACTCAAAGTGATTCACATTAAAGAAACAATTTATTATACAAAATATCAGTTTTATTTATGATGGTTTCACTGTTTACTAATTAAAATGTTGTCGTCTTTTATTGTTTGTTGTTGATATTATTGTGCTAACCAGGCTTTTTGTTTAACATTTTGAATGTTAATATTTAAGGTTTTAGATGTTTTAGTTTCTATTTTCTGTGTAAATGTGGTTATTTTTGTTTGTTTAGGATCAGAAAAAAAGAGCAGAAGGTAAATAATGTGCTTTGTTGTCATATATTGACCCCACACACTTTCTCTGTTTAACCTCCTTAAAGTCCAATGAATGTATCTGTTTGTATCTGAAGGTAAATAATGTGTTGTTTTATATTACTGAGGGAATATAAAGAGCAGGAGGTAAATAATGTGTTGTTTTATATTACTGAGGGAATATAAAGAGCAGGAGGTAAATAATGTGCTTTATTATCTTCTGCAGGAGCAAATAAAGGAAAACAAACTGTTACATAAACATCATAAACCTTTATTCACCATAATCTCTGCAATAATATAAAATCTGATTATGTTTTTATTGAAAGAACCAGGACGATGTTAACTTCAGGGTTGGACTACAAAATGACCTCATCGTTGTAGTTCTTTATGGACAGTTTCTATTAGACCAGAAACATAAAAACATCCTCTTCAACACTCGACTTTAAATGATGTGTCGTCAGACAGTGAATTTATTTTATTGAGAGTCTAAACAGAGTTTCAAACACTGATGGTGTCATTAATGTTTATTCTGCTGTCGCTGTTGAGTCAACAAACAACAACAATGAGCGTTTATACTGCAGACTGATTATCTGTGTATGTTGACATCTACTTAATCAATATTGATTGTGTAGTTTGGAAGGAAGTGATTTAATTGTCTGTGTGGAGCTGATAACTGTACAATAAAATAAGTGCTATTTATTATATATATATAAATAACAAAGTTAGTCATTGGTTCATATTTTAATTTGCACTAAAAAGAATTATGAAAATAATGTATCCATTAATAAACTTTTCAAATTAAAAATGGATTTACACAAACAAACAATAAATACATAATATAAAATGAATTCCTTAATTCATAATGAAATTTAAAAATGCACTTTTTATAAGACAAATAACGATTTACTAATTAAATTAACAGATTTTAATCAGACTTTTCCATCGGGTGTTTGATCCTCAATGTAAAATTATTTATTATGAATTATTTGCTTTTTTTATTATTCTGGGACACTTGTGGAACTCTGTTATGTTTGATTGTTTTTAGCAGTTATTTGTTATTTATAGTTTTAATGTCTTTTTGATTGTTTATTAAATAAACAGATTTTTGAAAAGTGAATCTTTCCAGTTGATTAATGTCATGAATCAATCTGCTCTAAGATTATTGTTTTTTGTGTTGAATATAATGTTTATTAAATAGGTGAAATATATAAAAATATCCAACTGCCTCAGATGTGTCTGTCTGACAGACTCCAGGTGATATTAATTCAGTAATATTAATATTAATATTAAACTGTGGGTGTACTGAGGTTAGATGCTGGTTTCTCCAGTCTCCTAAAATAAAACATCACATATAAAAAATATAAAGATTTATTGAGTCAGTAACAGACAGAAAGTGACTAATATGATCCCAGCAGAGTCAACAATGACGTCTCAGAGTTCAGATAACTTTATTGTTTAGTTATTAAGCTCTCAGATGATACAGCCATCCACTAAAGCACAGCGTCTGAAATAGAGAGGAGATGATCCAAAGACAGTGGTTGATCTCAGGCTGCTGGTCTCAGGTCTGCTCATAGACCTCAGGGTCCACATTGATAACACTCAGGGTGTCTGGAGTTCATGTTGGTCTTCTGGAGGATAAAGTCAGTTACGTATTGTAACTCCAGAGTATAGACTGCGACCTCTAAGAGCTCTTTAGGAAGAGCTGACTCGCTTTCTGAGGAACAGGTGAGTAACTACAGGTGGAGGATGTTTGCTCTTTAGGGGAAGATGTTTGTGTTTTATTTCACAACAGTCTGCCCTATTAGCGGCAGCATTAACAGCAACAGCAGTAACAACATTAGCAGAAACATTCAGAACATTAACTCAACTCTCTCCTGGAGTCTGCCGACCAGCCGCTCTAGGAGGGTGTGAAGGAGGACGCCGGGCGGTGAGGCGACGCTCTCGCAGCTGCAGGCGGTCGGTCCCAGCTCACAGGGCGCCGGATGGACTCAACAGCTTCAGAAGCGGCTTTCATCGAGTCCACCATGGACCGGAAACGAGGTCCGAACAGCCCGTCCCTGTGGATCTTGCCCTTTCTTGGAGGATGTGCTGGATGAGGAAGCCCTAATCCTCAGACGAGCATTTAGTCATGAAAGAGTCTTCTGGGACAGGTCAGACCCATTGGCCGTTGGAGAGGACTATCTCATTGAGAGATACAGATTCTCAGGTGATGGACTAAGATATTTATGTAGGCTGCTGGGTCCAAAAATACAGCACCAGACGGCAGGAAGCCATGCTCTCACTGTGGGGGTACATTTTATTATGATAGTACAAATATTTGAAAAAGTAAACATATACAAGTTGAGTAAATGATAAACACGCAACAAACACATTTAGTGTTTGCATATAAAGCTCGACTGAACCAGTATATATTGTAACTATTTAACATATGTTTGATAAGTACTGTATGTATTTTAAGTTCACTTATATCTGCTGTAATTGATCTTTCCTTGTAGGTTCAAGTGGAAGCACCAAGTTTCCTCAAGCTTCAAAGACATCTCGGTAAGATGTATCCTAACATAGTGTTCATGGTTGAATGTAGTTTTATTTTATTATTATAGGATGTAGTTTGTGGTCTGGTGAACTATATTGTGTTATACACAGAGGTGTCTTTATTGAGCATGGCCTCTGATATAAATGGGATGGACAAAATAATAAAAACACCTCAGTATAACGTGATACAATGCAATGGATGCATTATGTTTTCCTCTTAAAACACAAGTTTAATCTATATACATTGATGTGTTTGTATGTCTGCAGGTGTTTGCTGAGTTCCATCGCATTATAAATGTGAACCTACGTAATCAGTTCTACTGTGAGCTTGAGGATGACTCTGAGTTCTTCAAGACCTGGAATGTAAGTATTTAGTGCACTCATAGAAATGTCAATATCAGTGACATGTACCATGAAATATAGTATGGGAAACCAACTCTTTTCAGGTTCAAGTCAATGGATAGGTTGTTTTTTTTTTTCTCAGTATAATGCTAAAATGTGGTATGTACAATAGAAGAGTGATTGGGGTTCAGTTCTTGTTTCATGCAAATCTCTTTATGTAAGTGTATTTGAATCCAATATGAGTCTTCAGCTGTCTGAGTTACAATTATGTTGACATTGTTAATGATACATGACTTTAAACCTTTTTACTGGAATTATCCTCGTTGTTTGTATTTTGCAGCAAGAAGATGAGCCAGACATTGCTGACACTCCTGTGGGTCTCCTTACTGTGGTCACTTGTTTTAGAGCTGCCAGGACTGGTGTCTTCACTGAAAACAGTCCTAAACAAAATGGCAGATTCACCTTTATCTTCCATGAATTCCAGCCGAAGCGACTCACCACACACTGACAGTGAAGACATGGTATGACTGAAGGACCTTAAACCGATCCCTCATTAGCACTGAGTGTTGTTTTCCCCTCTGTGTCAGTTGTGTGATCTATGGCACAGAATGGTGATGTGTGATTATGTTCCTGTTATTGTGTTATTATTATTATCATTATATGTCCTTTGCTTGAATTATGTATTTGTGTTTGAAGTGTAATAAAGTTCCTTTTCTGAAATGCAATGTGTAATCTGTTGATGTAATGCACTTGAAATGTATTGAAATATAATACACTTGTAGTATAATAGCAACATTTATGCTTCAGTGTAACAAAATGGGGATAAAAGTACAGATGAAACATATTTCAAACACAATTGTTTTCAAGAAAACACTATAATAACATTGCACTTAAAGTACGTGTCTATGATGTTTAGGTTGTTATTTAACTTCACTTTAAATACATTATCATTGTCATAGTGGGACACTTTAAAAGCACTAAATATAGTAAGGAAGTGTATTTGTAGATCACTTGAAATATTAAACAGGCATACTAAATTAACATAATTTATAGTAATAATAATTATGATAATAGTATGTACAAAATGTACTTAAACACAACTGTAAGTTGAGCTGCAATGCCTTTTTAAGTGTATTTCCATGAGAATGGTGATATAATGTAATTGTACTGTAAGTGTGCTTAATCACTCATGAATCTTGAGTTAGTAGACTTTAGTGCACTTGAAGTTTGAAAGAAGTTGTTCCATTTTAGCATACTATTTACACTTGAAGTGTCGTCAAAATAGGTTTTAAGTTGAACTTAATACATAATTGAATACACTTAACTACACTAAAAAGAGTACAAACTGTTCTTAGTACACTTTCAAAGAGTATATTTTTAATAGATTTTTTTTCACCTGGGATCTTTTAATAAACCCTGTGCTCAAGTAACAGACGTTATTTAAACTCCTGTGTGTTTTATTGCTGTATCCCTCTACAGCCAGCCTTTCTCTACACTAATATAAATAGTTTCATTAACAGTGGATGGAATATTTTATTTATTTTTACATCCATTTGCACTGTTTATCGTACTGTGTTATAAGTTCATTTTACTTTTATTTTAATGTATGTTTAATGTGTGTTTAATGTCTTATATGCTACTGGATACTTGAATTTCCCTCGGGATAATAAAGTATCTATCTAGCTAATATATCACAGTGAGTTCCGGTGTGTAACGTAAATACTGTGTTTTATTTTGAAATCCCATGCAGTATAAAACGGAAGTTTTGTCATTAATCCAAGAACTTGACGCAAGCTCTTCTGATTGGCCGATCATAGTTCCGGTCAACCTGACCAATCAGTGAGCAGCTGGTTCTATATAAACTCGGTATCGATACTGAGCAGGCACATTCTTTCAAGTTTTGAACTGAATAATCTACTACCATGTCTGGAAGAGGTAAGGGAGCCGGAAAGGCCAGAGCAAAGGCAAAGACTCGTTCATCCCGTGCCGGACTCCAGTTCCCCGTCGGCCGTGTCCACAGGCTGCTGAGGAAGGGAAACTACGCTCAGCGTGTCGGTGCCGGAGCTCCGGTGTACCTGGCCGCCGTGCTGGAGTACCTCACCGCTGAGATCCTGGAGTTGGCCGGAAACGCCGCCCGTGACAACAAGAAGACCAGAATCATCCCCCGCCATCTGCAGCTGGCCGTCCGCAACGACGAGGAGTTGAACAAACTGCTCGGTGGAGTCACCATCGCTCAGGGAGGCGTCCTGCCCAACATCCAGGCCGTCCTGCTGCCCAAGAAGACCGAGAAGGTCGCCAAGAAGTAAACTACTCAGATCCGGCTGCTTCAACTAAACACAACGGCTCTTTTAAGAGCCACACACTCAGTCTGAAAGCGCATCAGTTTCAGTTATTACAATACATTTAAATATATTAATATATTACATAAATATTGTTAGAGTTAACTAACATGACTACATTTAGTATGTTTATTAGTCTTTCCTAATATGTAGTTACATATAACAAATATACAATTGTTTTCACTTTACTATATATCAACATGAGAGTCTGTATTATACTCCTCCCGTCTGGGTATTGACCACATTGATCCCTTATAACTGTTGGATTAAAGTCTTACTGTAAAGGTTAGAGTACAATGGATTTATACTATTTACAGGGTTAGGTCATATCATTATATATTATACTCTAATGCAATGAAAACTTTTAGTGTTAGTATTTTAGTAAACTTTAAATGTAGAGTGTCAGGTTTAGTATCCTAAAGTGACATGTTAACAAATAATGGCAGATACTAATAAGTCCTGGTCTGGATTTTAAACAGGTTGTTTGAGTGAATAAAATGTCACTGCTTGAATTCAGTAATTGAAGATATATGGTAAAAAGCTATTTGCACAATCTCTTTGAATTGCACAAGTAAAGTTTAGTTTTTTAATACGCTGCTCAAAATAATTTGCACGTTTTACCTTTAGTGTATATGTTTGTTAGTATTGTCTTATATTTTATATTCTCATTTTGTGATTCTTCATTGTACTTTGTTTTTATCATTGATAATCTTTAATGTTTAATATAGATTAGTAATAACGCAAAATAAGATGTAGGTCACATCAGAAACAGGAAGAACTGTAAGTAAAGCTGCTGTTTGGCTCCGCCCCCTGAACTACCCACTGCCTGTCCTCTGTTACGTCCGCAGTCAGGCTGTAAATAGTGACGGTCGAGCAGCATCCACTCATTCACCGTTGACTAACCAACAGTAAGAAAATGTCTGGCCGCGGAAAAGGAGGCAAAGGACTCGGTAAAGGAGGCGCCAAGCGTCACCGTAAAGTTCTCCGTGATAACATCCAGGGAATCACCAAACCCGCCATCCGCCGTCTGGCTCGCCGTGGCGGTGTGAAGCGTATCTCCGGTCTGATCTACGAGGAGACCCGCGGTGTGCTCAAGGTGTTCCTGGAGAACGTGATCCGTGATGCCGTCACCTACACCGAGCACGCCAAGAGGAAGACCGTCACCGCCATGGACGTGGTGTACGCTCTGAAGAGGCAGGGCCGCACCCTGTACGGCTTCGGGGGTTAAAGCTCATCCAGACCCGCTGACAACGAACCAAAGGCTCTTTTAAGAGCCACACACTTTATCTGCAGAGCTCACAGTCCTCAACGTGCCTTCATGTTTAATATAAATTCATAAAATATATTTATATCAATAGCACAAAATCTGTGTTATGTAATGAGACACCATAGTATCAGTGTTAGTATTAAGTAACTGAGTTAGGTTGTGTTTGTAGACTGAATAATGAAAGGTTGTACATTTTCAGCTGATTATAACAATGTGGTCTGAATTAGACCTGTTAGTGTTTCTGTGCAGGTTGAAAATGTAAACATTGCTTTCAGGCATTTATATATTTTGTACATATACAGTAATGCTTCTTCTGCACTATATCTTCTCCTTTTATATAAACTTTATTACATTTTCACTCATTACACACAAGTATTTGATATTGAGCAAATAATAATGTATATAAATAAATGTTGCTGCAATAATCCAACCATAAATAATCCAGTTTGCATAAAGTATAATGAAATTAAATATCTTGTTTTATATAATTATCTGTGGGGTTGAGAGTTTTACTGCCCAGTTGTTTGCTCTGAGATATTATATATAAATAATATATAAACATCTAGTAATTTGCTTAGAATATGTTGCACACCATTGAACTGCACATTTCATATAGTGTATATATATCTCATTTATAGTTTTATATTTTCTATTATATATGATACTATTGTATGAATACTGTACTCTTTATATCAACTTTATTAAATTATACACATATATTACACCTTATATAAACATTTTAGTGAACATTTATAAAGTGTATACAGTCAGAGAGTCTGAGGGAGTTTAATGTCTATAAAGTTCTGTATTATAAATCCACATTGTTCAATAGCAGCAGTGACATTAGTCCAGGGTTTTCCTCCTCCAGAGTTCAGTGATTATTTGTTTAGTTACAGTCTTACTGTCTATAATATGGACCTGGACCTTTAAACCAAAGTAAAGCAGTCACAGAAATATGAGTGAAAGTGAATTTGCTCTGGTTGTTTTCTTTGTGATGTGATCTCAGAGCAGTGTGATGGATCATATTTCACTTTAAAATGAGACACAGCAGTCAGCTGACAAAGCTCCACCCCTTAAAGACATCACCTGAGACCAACCAGGAAACAGGTTGTTCCTGTTCAGTTCTCACTGAGGAGAGACACACAGACAGACAGACAGACGGAGAGACAGACGGTAAGATTTACCTTCATTACAAAGCTGTGACTTTAACTGAGGGAGGACAGTTACAGGACGGAGGACTGAAGTTCTCTGAAGTTCTTCAACCTGCTGCTGACTGTAAAAACTCTCAAAGACTCAAAGTGAAAGTAACTGAGGCAACTTTTTACAGCAGGGCGGGAACCATAACTGACTTCCTCTTTAACGTGTTGTCTGCTGTTTCCAGCTGCACTCTGAGACAAATGGCTTCCAGATTAGAGGAGGATCTCTGCTGTCCGGTCTGTCATGAGGTCTTTAGAGATCCTGTTGTTCTGTCATGCAGCCACAGCTTCTGTAAAGACTGTCTGAAGAGCTGGTGGAAGGAAAAAATAACATGTGTGTCCAGTTTGTAAAAGAAGATCTTCGAAGAATCAACCACCTTTTAACCTGACTTTAAAGAAGCTGTGTGAGAGTTTCTTACAGGAGAGAGATCAGAGATCTTCAGAGGCTCTCTGCAGTCTGCACTCTGAGAAACTCAAACTCTTCTGTCTGGACCATCAGCAGCCAGTGTGTCTCGTCTGCAGAGATTCAAAGAAACACACCAACCACAGATTCAGACCCATCGATGAAGCTGCACAGGATCACAAAGAGGAGCTCCAGAAATCTCTGGAGCCTTTAAAGGAGAAGTTAAAGGTTTGTGAAGGAGTTAAAGTGAAGTTTGATCAAACAGCAGAACACATGAAGGTCCAGGCCCGACGCACAGAGAGGAAGATTAAGGAGCAGTTTAAGAAGCTTCACCAGTTTCTAGAAGAGGAAGAGGAGGCCAGGCTGGCTGCACTGAGGGAGGAAGAGGAGCAGAAGAGTCAGATGAGGAAGGAGAAGATGGAGGCTCTGAGCAGAGAGATAGCAGCTCTTTCAGACACAGTCAGAGCCACAGAGGAGGAGCTGAGAGCTGAAGACGTCTCATTCCTGAACAACTACAAGGCTGCAGTGGAAAGAGTCCAGCAGCGCCCCCCTGCTGGAGGATCCACAGCTGCCCTCAGGAGCTCTGATAGACGAGGCCAAACACCTGGGCAACCTGACCTTCAACATCTGGAACAAGATGAAGGACATGGTCTCCTACACTCCTGTGATTCTGGATCCAAACACTGTTTATCAAAAACTCATCCTGTCTGAAGATCTGACCAGTGTGAGACGAGGAGAGAAACAGCAGCTTCCTGATAATCCAGAGAGGTTTGATTATTCCTGGTCTGTTCTGGGCTCTGAGGGCTTTAACTCAGGGACTCACAGCTGGGATGTCGAGGTTGGAGACAGTATATTCTGGATACTCGGTGTGTTAGCAGAGTCTGTACAGAGGAAAGGATACATACGGTCTGGATTATGGAGAATATTGTTCTCCGGAGGTAAATACTATGCATGGTCACCATCAGCTCCAGAAACTGATCTCGTAGTTCAGAAGAAGGTCCAGAGCATCAGAGTGAATCTGGACTGGAACAGAGGAAAGCTGTCGTTCTCTGATCCTGATACTAACACACACATACACACCATCACACACACTTTCACTGAGAGGATGTTTCCATACATTGACACTGGGGATAAAGTGAAGATATTACCAGTGAAGGTCAGTGTGACAGTGGAACAGAGCAGTTAGAGATAAAGAGGATGATTATATTCATCATGTTTTAAAGGGAAAAGTCTCTGAATAGTAAAATGATCTTTTATTAAATGAGTGTATGTGTGAGGGACGAGTACAGAGACACTGACAGCAGAGACACACACTTTATCTACAGAGCTCAGAGTCCTCAATGTGCTGTGAACGAGTTATGTATAATATCAATTAATGGACATTTTTCATGATCATTCTTTAGAGTGCATAAAGGCACAAAATCTACACACTTGTGATATAAAACTTGACGACAATAATGTCAGTATCATGTAACGGTCCTCGCAGTGGAACAAAGATCAACTTGTGTTTTTTGGCTTTTAGTTTCTAACATTTTATTCTCTTTTTACGCATATTGTTTTATGATGTGTATTTTTAGACCATCTTAAACAACGTGGCCTGAAATAATCCCCAAGAACACAAACGTACAGATTGAAACCATCTAAATAAATATTTAATTAATGAAATATTATTAATATAATTATTATATTTAAATAATATTGATTAAAAGTACTAAAACAGAATCCAACAAAATATGTATTTATCCATATATATATAATATGGAGTTTTCAGTGATATCAAGAAGGGATATTCCAAAGGAAATTACAACAAATGTCTGGAAAAACTGTTAGAGAGATATGATGAGATGAGATAAAACATATATAAGATATAAAGGGTCAAACTTATGATAAAAACATTAGATCAAAATTATGAATTAATCATTGTTGTTATTATGATATACTTTTAAAAAATCTAATACATAAATAAAGGAAAAATACAGTAGTTTACTATTTACAGTACTATACTGGCTATTGTGATTTTCTTTACAGTAACACTTAAACTACTGTGGTTTTGTCACATGGACAAGGTTTTATTGTAAAATTTACAGTATTCTACTGTAAAAAAATGTTTTACAGCGTACTAACTTCTATTTTCATTTATAGTTTTATATTTTCTATTATATTGTGATACTTTTGTATGAACACTGTACTCTTTATATCAACTTTATTAAATTATACACATATATTACACCTTATATAAACATTTTAGTGAACATTTATAAAGTGTATACAGTCAGAGAGTCTGAGGGAGTTTAATGTCTATAAAGTTCTGTATTATTAATATTATTATTATTATTATTATTATTATTATTATTATTATTATTATTATGTCCATTAAAGATGTTGTTGTGTCTCATCATCGCTGGAGGAATAATCTTTATAAATCTATTTAATTTCTATTTTCTGATAAAAGTTAGCACATAAATCTCTTATTGTTTCTCTTTTCCTATTTTCACTGAATACAACGTCGCCATCTTTGTTCTTTATGGATTTAATGAACTTTTGATTTTATTTTTTCCAGATTTTATAGTTTGAGCAACGTTTCCTCTTTTATCTGTTTCTGATTGTTTATTTATATTATATAATAATTCACTATTAATGCTGTTT